CCAAAAACGCTGTTTTTAGGGGTTTCAACCCCTTTTTTCTCGAAAACGTGACGTGATGGGAAGTTTTGGACCCCAGATTCGTGTTCAGCACGAAAAATCCGTTCGGAAACACCAGGTCCCGTCTTATTCGCAAAACCCTTGTAGACCAGTGTTATGCTTCGTTTTATGCAATACACAATTTTGGATCTTTCTACATTTTGAGAGCAAATTGTAGTCTGTATATATGTAAATATATACATAAGTATGTGCGCATTTTTAAGAGTCGAAAATATAACATATATTCTTGCTAAAAGCCACAAATCCAGCATGTACATACAGCTGCGGTCAAAATAATAGCACCAAATTCAAAATGATCTCCTTTATATTTAATTATATTAAAATTCAATCTATAACATAAATCACGTAAATAACAATTTCAAAGCTTGCACAAAGTTCACAAAAATTAATAAAATTTCATTAAAATTTCCAACTTCATGTCTGGAATTTTTAGCACATTTTAGAGTATGCAGTTTTATAGCCCATTAATTTTTGTATAATAAAGTGTAAGTTTCAAGTCGCTAGAACATACCGTTTGCCGAGGGTGTTAAGCATTTTATTCCATGCGTTAACATTAACAAAATTAATTTTTATATGGAATGCTAAAGACCCTCGCCAAAAAAAAAAATCTAAAAATGAAGGGTAATCTTTAGCGACTTGAAACTTAGTTAATTTTCTACAAATTCTAGATAAAAAGTTTGAAATTTGGATAGAATTTTTTGAAATTTGATCAATATTTGTGAAACTTGTACAAGCTTTGAAAAATTTCTTAATATTTTTTTTTTTTTAATGAAATTTTGTAAAAATAAATAACTCCACATAAGTTGCAAGCATTGTTATGCTATTATTGTGACCGCAACTGTATGCAGTTTGCATTTCGGTTTGTTAAATATAATCCCATACACTTTTTTCATTCTCTGGCTATTTCAGATGCTTTGCTTGTTCTCACTATTTTCTAGAAACTTTAAAGATTTTAACTTTTTTTTTTGTTTTGGAACACTAATAAATAAAATAGGTTTACAGAGCTCTATATAGTGACATTTTCATAAAAGTTTTCGGTATATAAAGCAGTTAAAGTCTTCTTTATTTTTTATGAATTTGGGTCTGAAAAGGTCTGGAAGAGGCGTGCTCTTTTATTGTTTTATGTGTAGTCATGTATATGTACTTATGTACATATGTATGTATCAGACATCTGCATAAATTCATTCAAATTATAGCTCCACACGCCACAAGGTTTTTTTTCTTTGAGAAGCGTACATAGGTTACATTAGCTTGGGTGATCCGTACGAGCTCACATGGGCCATTAATTCAGTGTTAACAAGAAAATGGCGAGTTTTAACAATTTATTAGTATTTCCGAAAACTGGACAGTGACAGAGAAGGTACCATCGTCACACTTAGTCTTCACTCTGTGTCAGTTCTATGTTCGGTAAAAATTGCATAGCTGTAGCAGCTCACTAGAACAAAATATGTATTCGTCCTTTTTATTGTGGCGTATTAATATTTATTTCAATAGTGTTATTGACCTTTGTACCAAGATTTTTTTTCGTCCAATCGTGTGACTACAACTAAATTGTGCGTCCCGCTTTTTTTATTTTGTACCAATGGCCCAATATAAACAAGTAAGAAAGTCTAAGTTCGCGCGGAGCCGAACATTATATACCCGGCGCAAGTATTAAATATATGTTTTTTCAACTTTCCGAAAGCTACCGCTACATGGTAAGCCGGGGTGTATCAATTTTGAGTAAATTAGCGTCTTTAAATTTCGAAATATTGCAGTTTCAAGCATTTCTGAAATTTACCGTTATATGAAAAGCGGCCGTAATTTTAGTCCGATTTCAATAATTTTCAACGTTTTGCTTTTATGTGGCAATCACAATAAAAATAGCGAGTTTGGTACAAATTGGTAGAACGGTTTTCTATATACACATATGTGATCATAAGTGGGCGGTGCCACGCCCATTTTCCAAAATTTTACCATAAACGTATTTCTTGGTAAAGAATTGTTGCAAGCGTCAATTTTGAATAAATTAGCTTTAATATTTACTGATTTATCGAAGATTTCGTATTTCTCTAAATTACCCT